ATCAAATGTAGGATTTGTTTAGTTGGAAGAAAAATATTTCGAAAAAATTTATTCAGATATATAGAGAATGTTGCACGGTGGCGATAAGATAGGAATTTTATGTTCGAATGGCAAGAACGAGTGAGTGCAGCGAACGACTGAGACATTGTTTTTTGCCAGGAGACCATAAAGTTGCTATCTTCGAGCCAACATGTAATGTTCTTTTTATCATATAGGCACATACTACAGAAGCGAATCGAAAGCACAAACTGTATATGAACTTTAGCTTGGCAGCTGAAATATCTTGAATATCTCACAATTTTTTGAGCATTAAAGAAACCCCTTGAATAGTTTTAAGCCGCATGAAGTTTCTATAATCATTGTGCAATGTTTGTCATTTTCGTGTTCGTTATAAAGAAGGATCTTATGTCGGCTTCAGTGAATTTAACTTCCCTATCACTCGCAATCTTTCAATCGTCTATGGCAAAGTTTGGCCTACGTCATCAATTTCCTTACTAGTGAGAATATGGAAAATACGCCAACACGGTCCCGGACGTAAATTCGTATGAATTTTACGAGTGGTGTATTTTACAGTAAAACGCTCGTGTCTAAATTATAAATAAGATTTTCTATCTAAGTTCAAATTTTCTTTTTCAACAAATGCCGCAGCATTTAACCGCGGCAAGCCTAACCAGCTAATTCCCTTTACGAAATACTCGTTTGACAAGGAGTTTCACTTCATTTCGAATATCCCTCATTCTCCACATGTAGAGAAGAGGGTTTAGCGAAGCAGACAGAAACATTAACATGGAAGACACATTCAACGATATGACGACGAGTTCATTGATCAAAACTGTCGATATTCTCGTAGAGAGAGTAATAGGGACATAACCCATGTAGAAAATAACAAGGATGTAGAGGATCGAGAACACGGATTTCTTGTATTTCGTCAAGTTAATGGCTGGTTGAGCAAAGTTTTCAGACATTTCGTTTGCCCGGATTTGCCGCTGATGGCGACGGATTATTCGAAAGACTTTAAAGTAGGCTACTGAGGTGGCAGCAAGCAAGAATATTATACCTAAACCGCCAGCGACGTCTGTTCCAGATGTAGCAACTTGCTTCATTTTTTGAAACACACGAAACGCAGTTAATAGGATCGCAAAGACAAACAAGATCGCAACTATGAAGCAGGCTCGACTCACGTTTACCAGTGATCTTCTCGACATGTGCAGCCACCTTTCAATGAACACGATTGTCATGATAAATATTGTGATACGTGAAAAGAACGAAGCAGAGCCCTAAGCCATAACACTTATTGCGAACATTGGTTTGTTGTCAACCACGCTCATCCGAGGCTGTAGTGCGTAGATCAACCAGTTTGTGACATAAATAGGCTGGCTAATGAGTCCAGTGCCCAAGTCAGTGAGAGCCAATCTAGCGAGAAGAACAAAATCAGACCATTTGCCACCGCTGTCAGCGGTGAAAAAATGGCGACGACAACTGATGTGGACAAAAATTACCAGGTAAAAGGCTGAACCATGACTTGGTGCTACGAATTGAAGTAGAAAAGATGAGTTGGAGGAGAATACGTCTCGTTATTATACACGATGGTTTAATCTCATTAGAAAACTAAGCTGTAAACTGAATTTCGATCGCTGTTCACCTGCTTGTTCTAATTTCAATTTTGTTTTTGTCTATCTTTGTGTGCAAAGCTTTCCTAGTTAAAATAAAGGGTTCCCTAGGTTTGAGTTAAAATCTTTAATTAGTTGCTTATTTCTCTGTTGGGCCAATTTAATTTATTTTCCCAGAGCAAAGTGAATAGTAGCTAAGCAAATAAATATTTGCTTTAACCTCATTTTGCTTAGCATACAAGTTTTTCGCTGTCCTAATACTGGTAGCAGGAATACCCAGAAAAAAAAATAATTAAAGTATTTTTAAAGAGAAGCTTCCATTCAGACAAATACAAAATTAGCTGCTGTTACCGCTTTTAAGATAAGAGAAATTTTCAATCAATAGATATAGGGGTCAAAGGGGGAGCCATAAGTTTCCGACAAATAAGCTTACTGTAAAGCCACAATAAGGAGCTTTGCATTATAGTGGGTGGCTCGTGCTACCGAGGCGAAAGAGTTTTTTTCGAGAAGACCTTTAGCGACAAAGTCCATCATGTATTGTACGTTATTTTGCCATAATAAGTGTAACTCGTGGAAATGTATATTTGTAATGTATTTTATGGCTTTTTCAATTTCAAAGAATTGAGAAAGTCTTTCACTTAATGGTTAAAACAGGACCAGTTAAAAAAAGAAATCAGAAAAATGTGATTTTCACTTGCATGATTACAACTAGGTGTATTATGAACAGGCTTTCTTGAAAAGTATTTCCAATATTTTCTTTTACAACGGTTTTCATTTTATACACAAAATCAATTTAATTCGAATCTATATGAATAAATTGTGCTAGTGTGTTTTATTTCATCGAGTAAAAACTTCTGTGTTTAATCAGCCCAAATCCATCTTCTTAACTAACAGCTTTATTTTTATTCCTAGTTTTCTGGTCGAAATATTCACTTGACCAACTTTTTAACTTCATTTCGGATATCATTCATTCTCCATAAGTAAAGGAAGGGGTTACGTTAAGATGACAAAAATAAAACTACGATTGAAAGGTTGAGTAATAAAACGGTAAATGTGCTATCATTCGAAACAAGCTGAATTGCTAAGGCAATAACTACAGGAATGTGTCCAATATAGAAAATATATAAAGGAGCGAAAACACAGATTTCTTGTATTTTTCAAAGTTGATCGTTGGTTGGGCGAAGTTTTGGGTTATGTCATTCGACTGTATTTGCAGCTGATGGCGCGAATTATTTTGTAACCTTAAAAGTAGGCCGTAGACGTTTCAATAAGGCAAATCAGCTCACTCAAAATGGAAGAAATATCTGATTCGAGTCTGTAAGTTCCCTGAATGTTGTTCAATGCGCGATAAACAACTAATGGGATCGAAAGGAACAAAGAGCAAAGAAAAACGAAACAGGTTCGACGCACGGTAATCATTGATCTACGAGTCATGTGCAGCCATCTTTCAACGGACATGACTGCTATGATTATAACACTCACATTGGAAAAAAACGTAGTATAAGAATTGAAAAATGCCCAGGTTATGATAAAAGATGGTCTCCTTTCCACCTCGTTCAGCTGAGTATCCAGCGAGTGGATCAAATGCTTTGCAACATAAATAGGCTGCGAGTTGAGTCCAGTGTAAAAGTCAGTCAAAGCCAACGAATCCATCGAGCAGAATGTAAGAAGGTGTTCTAAGAGACGATCTCCTCCAAATTGCCGCCAAAACCAGGGCATTGACTGCTACTGGCAATAGAATGGCGACCATAAGTGAAGACGGAAGATTTATCCCGTAAACAGCGGCACCATGAGTTTTTCTTGCACTTTTAAAGTTAAAAAGACTAAGAGTGGTACAATTAGTCCCGTTATTGTTCATGGCTGTCCAGTCCCATGAAAACAGGAAAGACTAAGTACAACGCCAACTTTCAAATAAAA